AAAGTGATGGAAAGGCAAAAGTTTGGAGAAAGAAAGGATCTGCTCATGATCCCAAACATACAAGCTCATCTGTGAAACACGGTGGAGGGAATGTCATGGCTTGGGCTTGCATGGCTTCTTCTGGGACGGGCTCTTTCATCTTCATTGATGATGTAACAGATGATGGCAGAAGCAAAATAAACTCAGAAGTCTACAGAAACATTTTGTCTGCTAATTTAAAGAAAGATGCAACCAAACTGATTGGGAGATCCTTCATCATGCAGCAAGATAACGACCCAAAACACAATGCCAAAACAACAAAGGAGTTCATCAGGGGCAAGAAGTGGAAGGTTTTAGACTGGCCAAGTCAGTCTCCAGACTTAAACCCAATAGAGCATGCATTTTACCTGCTGAAGAGGAGACTGAAGGGAGTAACCCCCCAAAACAAACAACAACTGAAAGAGACTGTGGTGAAAGCCTGGAAAAGCATCACAAAAGAAGAATGCAAAAGTTTGGTGATGTCAATGGGTCACGGGCTTGATGCAGTTATTGAAAGCAAAGGATTTGCAACTAAATATTAAGTCTCATTCACTTTAATCTATTTTAAGTTTATATGTTCCAATACTTTTGCTCACCTAAAAATTTTGTGTTCCATTACAAATAATGCTATCTTCTAAGTTGTGTATCAGATCCAGATGTAAATACCTGGAAATAAAAGCTGAAATGTTGATCTCTTGTCTCATATTCATCTTTTGATGTCAAACCCAAATGTTTTCAGTCTACAACAAAAGTAAATGAATTGGACTCACTGTTCCAATACTTTTGGAGGGCATTGTATACCACACATTCAGTGTTTTATGATGAAATAGATTAGGGACCACTGAGCTGCTGGTTTAGTGCTGGGTCAGACATCAGTGTTGAGCTCTTTGCTCAGAATTGCCTAAAATTGCCCGGCCCCGACCATTGCTGCGCAGCAGCTATAATTGTACCTGAGATCAGGTTGTAGAAAAAGGTTCATTTATGTGTTGTACATTTCAGCTCTAAGGTAATTCTGCCCTTCAAAGCTTAGACCAGCTGGTCCAGGGATGCAGGTCATTTAGTGATAAACCTGTATCGCTGTCCTCCAGGCCTGCATTGTAATTATTCATGGCATTTTGTTTATGTTCATTTTCTTATGCATATTTAATCAGTTACAAATGAGGTTTTCCATTGAGTCTCTTCATTATCACTGCAGGACTACTGAAGGACAAAGGTTGAGGAAATGTTGTTTTGACATGTAGTTTTTAATTGAAAATGTATTTCCTATATATGTGGTTAAAAACAATTTACCTATATTTTAACTATGTATATGGACTCAAATGTGTACGTTGTTAAAATTTTTTTAGAGCTCAGGAAATGCATTAAAAATAAACTCAAAATAGACTCTTCAGTCATATTCTCACACATTTGACATTTCACATCTCGTCTACTATTACAATATTGACACAGAACATACAGTCCAACTAGTCATGTATAATGTATTATTCTGAGAGATTCCTTTGATATGCACATATGAAATATGTATGTCTTGTCAGTCCATGTGGACTAAGCACCTTTATATTTATGACCCTTGAATTTATTTATGTGAGACACAAAATTCTATCAACCTATCGAGATTGCACAAGTGGTGTGTGGTGTGTGTTAGCTGATTTTTAATACGCTCGCAAAACCACCTTCAGCTTTTGATATTGTTGGTTCATTGTGAGGCCTTTCTATAAGCTACTTCCCTAGAAAAAAGAAGTATTGCTCAATGCTTGCAGTGCGACACTCAAGTTCACTTTGACTGGAATAACAGTCAGTGACTGAAGACAAGTTATCATTTGGTTCCTTCCTCTGATTCATGAGCTTTTAGCTTCACCCCAGCTGGCTACACACACCTTATGAAATTGGTATTTGGTTGACTTTAGGTTGTGACGTCAGGTGACCAAATTCAATGTCAGGACAACGTCTAATGCCGACGTCAACTGGTGTAGAATACTGACGGCAGATGACATAATGTTTTGCTGGTTTTAGATTGTGCTGTCAAGTAGCCAAAATCAAACGTCTTCCAAATGTCTTATGCTGACGTCATCTTGACCTAGAATACTGACATTTAGTTGTAACATATGGAGAACAAAACCCAATGTTTCGTCTCTAGACAATGTGAAATTCTAAAATCGGTAATAAACCATCATCAATGCGATTTCCATTCCAACCAAAATTTAACATCCGTGCCAGCAGGGACGCCACCGTACCGTGTGACTACCTGAATGTTGTGCAACCACATAACATCAAGCATAATATTTTGTCCATGATAAATGAATCTGAATCAGAATAAAGTCATATCAGGAGCTCATATCAAAAGACTAAATCTTTGAATTAATCTAAACTTGCCTTACCTTACAAAAATAATATTGTATATTTACTGGATTATGTGAGTGTGTGTCCTTTTAAGTATTAGGTGGCACAGGTCATCTCACAGCTGCATTTACGTTTTGTAATTAATGCCCTTACCTCTGGCTATTGGCCCTTACATTCAGCCTAGAGTAAACACAGATTCATGCACCATGATTTGAACACATTTTAAACGGAGTTTCTTTCTTAGCTGACCTTTAGTTTGAAATAAAACCGAGATAATCAAATACCTAATTTTTGTTTCAAAATTAAAACCTATTCTAAACAAAGGGAAAAAATGACATTGGTTGTTTAACCGAACTGTACAATATTCTCCTTTATGTGTTGCTGTAGATAATGTCTCTGATTTTATTGTATCGCTCACAGTTTCTATATGCATCCTGTAAATTATTCTTCCTGCGTTTTCCCCTCTTCTGTTCCCATCGTCCTCCCATCAGCATCAATGCATTTAAGTCAAGGTTGTGAAGGACATGCCTCTGTTATTTTTTCCCCCGTAGGTCAGTACATTTTGTTCCTAACAGACCACCAATTATTAACCATCGCTGTGAGGGATGAGGGTGTGCCTGTGTGCGGCATGGTAGTTATTAAGAAGGCTTCATAAACAAGTCTTGTACTAATAGAACTAAATGCATTATGTTTTTGTTCCGGTGCAGGCTTGTTTTTGTTGTGACGGAAGGAGGGTTGTTAAGCTGATTAGTAGTTTAGTATGCTACAAGCTTCACCGGTCTCATATTGGAGCAAACTTTTAAACTTTTGACTATCCATGCCATCATCGGCAGCAGCCATTTTGACTGCAAACAGAACTTGATAGATTTTTAGAAATGTGTTTGTCAAGTTGTGTCTTTGTTTGTCGTCCCTTCTCTCTCTCTGCTAAAGACTGTGTATATTTTCTGAGTTTTAATGTCTAATGCTGCATTTTTACCAGCTGCGACAACTTCATCATATCGGTTTCACGGGATTTGATGTTTTTTGTTTGTTTTTTTCATACAAGAGTGGTCTTACCCACATTTTCTACTAATGACAAAAGAATTACTGCAGTAGATGGGCTTTACATAGCACATTTTACTGTCATAAGGACTGTATCATGCTTTTTTCATGTGTACACACAGGTAAATGCATGACCCCTTCAAAGTATGGTTGCCAATAGGGCAGCAGTAATTAAGTTAAATAATTAGAATGATTATGGTTGCAGTCAAAATAAAACATTTTTATTTAACCAAGTTTGCATAATCAGTACAGTCAACCATCATTATCATCATCAAAATCTTATGACAGCATTTGCAATAGATGGTCGGTTGCTCCACGTCTGACCTGTTAAAACCAAAGAACCTCCAGACGACAGACACGGCTCCCCTTTTTGGTATGAGCTCTTCTGGGTCATCATGTTCTTCTTCAGCAACGTGTACAGCTGCCTTGCTTTCGGCAGCCATTCTTGCCTCTAAACTTGTCTCTATGCTCTCACTCTAGCCCGCCTCAGTGTTTCCAGATTTTGGGAGAGAAACAAGCAACCAGGGCTATGGAAACAAGCCCAAAAACCAACTAGCTGACCAAAATCGAATCTTTTAATCCTCTCGCTTTCTACAAATCTTCATTGTATTCTTTCCATATTTTGCCCACTTGTTAGCGAAATAGTTAAAGAACCTCCATTAATCACGCAATTTAAATGTGAAAAGTCTAATTGGCTGACCGTCACCTTTGTGTATGTGGAGAAGGAGAGGGGCAGAGGGAGCGGAGCTGTGGAAACTTCATGCAGTCCAACATACTATCATGCTTAAATAACTTATTAGATGGATATATACATAGAGAGAGAAAGGCAACGTTTAGAGAGCAAGCCCAAATAAGCAACTCCACTTTAGAAACAAGCCCAAAAAAACGCAACCCGCGACTTTACAAACAAACATGCCCAAAGTCGCAGCTAATAAGCGGAACTGGCAACCGTGGCACGCCTGTGGTGTGCAGCAGTGAAATAGGTCCCCGCTGAAACACTTTCCCACCACGCATGTTCCAGACGTTGTTTGGGCTTTTCACCGGTATTGCCGTATATGAAAAATTCATATCATCACGAAAATAAAGACTAGTTTTTGGTACCAACCGGTATACCGCGCAGCCCTAGCTGGAATTGTTTTGACATCGTTAGTCTGTGTGTCATTAAGGCAAATGTGATCCTGGTGACACCAGTTGTAGTGGAAGTTACCACAGAAGCTGTTTTTGAGTGTTTTGCTAGGTGTTTATATGCGTGTCGTCTGGCTATGGACGGGTACTGTCAACGCTATAGCGTCTACTACCAGAGATAAGATGAAATAATTAATTATTCAGGTTATTAGGGTTTTGACCTGTGGAAGTCATATTAGAAAACTTTGGATAGAGCCAGGTTACCTGTTCTGCAGAGTTAAGCGAACTGCCTCCTGCCCCAGCATTCTGTTTGAGGGGAGGATAGTATCAAGTAGTATCAGTAATATCTCATCTCACACTTGGTAATAAAGTGAATAAGTATTTCACAAAATGTGAAACTACACCTTTAATGCATTGTTTAGATTGCCTTTGTGCATGAAATGTGCATAATTAACTAACTTTTCTTTGCCTTGTAGGACTGTTGACCCGTCACTGATGGGATCTTATCAACTTGTGTTGCCTCACGTTCCTTAAAGCCTCCATGGAGCTCATCCAGGCCACCCAGCTGCCTCTGGAGGCCCCTACACCTACGTGGAGCAACAGCTTCAGTCCCCCTTACTCCCATTTCCTGCTCGTCTCCACTACTTCTGAATCGCTTCTTGGCTTCAGCCCGAGTGACAGCTCTTTCCTCTTTAACAGCACCTGCCAGAACTGCACCAAACCAGAGCCTGGATCCCTCCCTGGCTTGGCTGGAGTCTTCATCCCTCTTATCTATGGAATAGTGTGTGTTGTTGGCCTCATAGGCAATACTCTGGTCATCCATGTTATAGTCAACTACACTAAGAATGAGTCAGTCACCAACATCTACATCCTCAACTTAGCCATTGCAGACGAGCTCTTCATGCTGGGCCTGCCCTTTTTAGCCGTGCAAAATGCTCTGCTGTTTTGGCCCTTTGGCTCTCTGATGTGCCGTGTGGTCATGACAGTGGACGCCATCAACCAGTTTACCAGCATCTTCTGCCTGACCGTGATGTCAGTGGACCGCTACCTGGCTGTCGTGCACCCCATCCGCTCCTTCTGGTGGCGGCGCCCCCGTGTAGCCAAGGCTATCAGTGCCACAGTTTGGGCAGGGTCCTTTGTGGTGGTGCTGCCGGTGGTGGTGTTTGCAGATGTGCTGAAGGACGATGGGAACTGCAGCATCGTGTGGCCTGAGCCAGCAGAAGTGTGGAAGACGTCTTTCATTGTGTACGCGTGCACTGTGGGCTTCTTCTGCCCCCTGCTGGTCATCTGTCTGTGCTACCTGCTGATCGTCATCAAGGTACAGCATTTACAATAACGCAGATGCAAAAAGGTTGTTCCAAACTACAGTACCCATGAGCCTCATCCTCCATTGCTACGGAGACAAAATCAGAGAGGTTGTAAGTTCAAAATGTTCATTGTTGAATTCGTAAACAAAACACAGAGCCGTAGTTGCTAAATTAACCAAAAATTGATCCAGAATCCAAACGTACACATTAACAACCTACATTAAATTATTATTATTTCGACCTCCTCCACAGTCACCATGTTTGGTTGTTGGTCAGAAAATTTTGACTCTGCCCTCTAGTGCCACCTAGTGGTTGTATCTATACCAACATACAGGATGCAAGGAAGCATGGGGGTGGTGACAGTGTCGTTTGAAATTAAGGTATTTATTTTTGTACATAAAGGGAGTATAAATGACCCTAAAGTTTTTTGCACACCAAGTTTGTATTTTTTTAATTCCTTCATCTGATAAAAATTGTTACGCACAGAAACCTTGCATGCTGAGTACCATGCGTTTTATTGGGTTTTTTTCCTTCCAAAAATTTAATAATGGGCAAAATGGAAAGATACTGTCACCACTCTCTGGCTGCATCTTCCATTTGGCACCACGGCTACCTGACAGAACTGAGCTGTCCTTCCTCTCTGCCTCCACATTGTTGCTCACTTTCATTCTGTCTGCCTGTGGTCTTCATCCTCTACTTCTGCCTCCTCTTTGTCACCATCATCCACCTGAATATTACTATCTGACTTATTGAAAAGAGGCTGTCTGAGTTGCAAAATGATACTCTGCTCCATGTTCCTTTCTCGTTGCTTCTTTGTCAAACAACTCTCTAGTAGTGAATCTTTACAAGGCTTTTGACGGATGCGAAAAAACACAGGCAATCAAACTTATTCTGAAAACTGTTAAGACATTTTAAAGTGAGTGTGTAAACGTGATTAACACACGAAGTCATATATTTATTCTTAAACGTGCGACAACTTCAGACAAAAAATAACCTTGGTGTACAAAGGCCTTTACTCCCAAAACCAAGGGTGCCTGAAATGGCTCATGCCATTTCCCACCTCTGTTGCATTGCAGTGTTTTAAGTCAAAATTATTTTTGTACAAAAAAAAATGCTGTTTTTGGCTATTCGCTAATAAATCTTTCCAAATGAAGCTGCATTGCAGAGAAGCCCTTTAATGCAGTAACAGCTTTCATCACGTGCTGCACAAACACATTGGTACACACTAATATCCTATATAATTGGACTGCTCTCTGTTGGTATCACTAATGATGTTGGAGGGCACTTGTAGTGAAGCAATATTTGTACAGAAATAATGGGGAAGCACACTGTGCCGCAGTTAATATGTTATGATTCTGTGGAAAAACATCCACCACAATATACGACACAATAAAGGCTACATTCCCCTCAAAACTTTCAGAAATAAACATTCTTTTTTTTATACCATAAAGTACCATCGATGCTCTCATCAATAATGTGTATTCTAACTATAATTGCTAACTCGCAGCTGTGTGCCTCCGTGAACCAGTAAATTTGCATTTACAGTTAATATATTCATGTCTGTGAAAGCATTGAAGCTTCATGTACACCCCCCCAGGTGGGCACCAAAAATTAGTGTCACCAATTTAGTACCTGACCGAATGTCTACCCCCTGTTCCTGGGTTATGATGTCGAATAAAGGCCAGAAAAGTGTTTTTGCAGAACATTATAAGTTCATCCACTCAGTTCACCATTGAGTCCAAGTGAATGTTTGTGCCAAAATTGGACAAAATTCCCTCAAGGCCTTGAGATATCATGTTCACGAGAATGAGACCGAGGAGGTCACATTGACCTTAACCTTTCACCACCAAAATCGAATCAGTTTTTTGTTGTGTCTAAATTAATGTTTGTGCCAAATTGTAAGAAATTTCCTCAAGGTGTTCTGAGATATCCCGATCTCGAGAATGAGACGGAGGAGTTCACAGTGTACTTGATCTAAGCAACTCTAAGAAGCATAGTACAGCCTATTTACCTGAGATCCTGAGTGCAGAGCTGATCTTCTTCCAGACACTGTTTATAAGTGTATAGGCCTATCGTCCATGGGACAGATGTAAAGCTCTGGTTAGCCCTGCTTTCGCATATTCATCAGACTGAATATTTACAGAAACGGGACGGGAAAGATATCTGTCAGCTCTGATTGGTTTGTAACCTGACTCCTGTCTGACTGCTGAGCGTGGTCACTTCCTCTGGCTGTCCTTTCAAATTAAATTCCCACATGGTCCAGTCATATAGGTTTTAATTTATTTTGACAAGGTGCAGCTCCTAATAGAGTTTCATGTTTGTTTTCTGCGACTAAACGACCAATGAAATCTTGCCGACGAATGACCTTTCTGGGCGACTAAGGATTAGTTGACTACCAGGGTGCAGTCCTCGTAAACAGAACGTGTTTCTTTGCTTTATTTATTCTGAAGTACTAAAAAATGACAAAAAACAGCAAAGTATATTCCCAGGAGGAATGTAGCACATGACTGTCAACAGTTTTCATACAAACTCTTTCTTAGGTACAATGTGGTTTGAAGATACATTCACCTTTATACTGGGTTCATAGGAAAAAATCTCAGGTGGGGATGACTCAGAACCTTAGCACACAAAAATACTAATTGAAACTGATTTAGGTGAGCTAACCCTTTATGAGTAAACATATGTGTTTAAATAAGACAGGTAAAAGTTCTTTATCTTTTCTTTCAAAGGTGCGCAGTGTTGCAAAGCGGGCGCAGGCCACGTCCTCTCGGCGCAGGAGGTCGGAACGTAAAATCACCAGGATGGTGGTTGTGGTGGTGGCAGTGTTTGTGTTTTGCTGGCTACCATTCTACGTTCTGAACATCGTCAACCTCCTTGTGGTCCTGCCTGGGGACTTCAGGGGGCTCTACTTTTTTGTTGTCGTGCTGTCATATGCCAACAGCTGCGCCAACCCCATACTGTACGGATTTCTGTCTGACAACTTCAAGAGAGGCTTCAGGAAGGCCCTGTGCGGAGCTTCACGCAGGGTGAAGAACAACGACAGGGCCGGCACTGAGGTACAGCGACCAACAGAGGAGTGGGGCGGCATTGTGCTCCAAGCACAGAAAAGTGAAGGAGTCAGCAAGGTGCATAGGAAAGACTGTGGTGAAAAAGAAGAAGAGGAGGAAGTCAATGGAACAGGAGGGGCCATACAGATGAGTGAAATATGCAAAACGTCACAAAATGGAAACCACAGTGGCGTAACAGAGGGCTCAAGGACACAGGTCATGCAGAGAGATAAACCTGATCCAGAGCACTTGAGTCAGAGTGCAAAATATGGAGAAGGCGCTGAGAAAGGCCCAGGCTCTGATCCTGCTGAGGCAGCGTCCCCTGTGGCCAGTAAATGTAGAATCAGCAGGTCAAAACCTGACGAATCCCTGGACAATAAGTCTGTGCTCGAAATCAGCTCCTTGTAACAGATGATGTGAGTTCAGTGGATTTTGGTGCCACTTAAAGTATTTCTCAGACTTTTGAAACAGCTGTGAATATTACAAACAACTGTGGGTTACAGATTACCAGCTCAGTGTTCATGTGAAGTGACTGTTGTCTTAAAGTTGTGGTCGGACCTTTTGCTTGGCTAATATTTGCATTATGTAACAATCTGCCAATATCAATGCAGTTGTTTTTGACATGGTGTGAGGATGTAAAAAAAAAAAAAAAAGATATAACTGACAAAATCTAAAATCAGGCATAATGTCAGCCATGTTGGATTGAAACACTGGCTGCAAGTAATGTGAGGTAGTGTTCAGTTATTGTTGCAAGCAGACCTGCAGAAACACTTGTATGGTCAAGACTGATGGGTCATTTTTTAGATTTAGATTTTTTGTTCTTGATTTCTCACTTGATTGTGAGACTGTTTTGCCAACTGGTCTGGTCCCTTTAAAGGGCAACAACGGCCACTTTCAAAATTCATGTATGTTTCTACTTTGGTTAAAGACAGTCCAAAAATATTTGTAATCTCAAACAACTCTCAAAGTACAAAGTCTGGAGCTGCTCCCGAGACAATAAATATGGAAAGATGTTCTAGATCAGTGATTCCAAGTCAGTGGGTCACGGTCCAAAAGTGGGTCGCGAGTCCATTCTGAATGCACCGCGGAGACTCGAATACCCTTTTTCCATTGTCACTCTTGGCCATGCCGCCTTAAGCTGCATCAGAGATGGACCTTCTCTGGAGGAGACCAGAGAGAAAGGCACTTTTTAAAGTCTCCAGTTAGGAACCACTGATCTAGATGACACTGTGTGCCCCCAGGGGAATGTTCTGAGTATATTGGTACATTTTTTTGTTTCAGAGCTGAGAACACTACAGTCAAATGAAGCTCATTTGGGTATAAAAAAGAAAAACTTTCTGTGGGTCTACAAATGGTCTATGGAGCAGCTTCACACTTTATAGCCCATGACATCACAAGTTACTTACTTGATTTCTGGTTTTGAGAGAGAGTAGGTCATGTTCACAAATATTGACTGACCTTTCCAAGGCAATGGAGATAACATGGTGGAATTCTTAATTTCAGCTTGTGTTCCCCTTTAAACGGACAAAAGACCAGACTTTACACTATGACGGTCATCCCAGGTTAATGTAACCCTGATAAATACTTTATCTTTTTAAATATTATATTCTGTAACAATATATATTTATTTATTGCTGTCATGTTAAAAAGGACTGCCACAAGGACTTCTTTTGATCAGGAACATCATGTTCTGAAATGGCTAATGCATTGTATGAATCATATCCCAGTGGGACATAACTAATGACCCATTGTGAAATGAAAAATGTCAGCTTTGTTTACTTTTTATTCTTACTAAAACAGCCCACAAAGCTTAATTGTTGTGTTTTCTAAAACACATTTTACTGTCAGCTGTTTAGTGCTTTTGTCGAACCTTTCTGTAACATCAGTACTGTGCATGTGTGAGCATACGTCCATGGAGCGGGACATCAGTGTAACTCTGTTGCTGCATTTCTGGTAGCTAAGCTCTGGATACATAACCCCGTGTATTGTTCTGATTGGTCGTAGTGTTATCCAATTGCGTGCAGTGATATTTTCAAATGCATGCTTGGTGCCGCCCTCGAGTTGGGCCATTTTCATAACTCATAGCCAGACCCTCAATCTTTCGAGATTTGGGTCTGGATTTCCAGGCTAGCCTGCAGTTGTAACTGCCTCTCTGTACACCGTGCTCACGTGTGTGCGCGAGACCATGAGACATGGGCACCGCATTCATGTGTGTTCACGTGCTTTCGCTGGTCTCGCGCACAAGCGCACACGTGAGCACGGTGTACAGAGAGGCAGTCAGAGCTACAGGCTACAATGAGGCTAAAAACAGAGTTCAAATGACGTTTTTCCAAACAATTTTTTATGTCGGGGCTTCAGGACACTTGGATCACTACAGACGAGCAGTATGGAGATATTTTGTGGTTTCAATTATGTGTTTTTGGACGTTTCAATCTGGGGCGCCGTAAGCCTCCATTAGGTGTAGTTGTGTTGCTACCTCCTCTCCCCTGGGATCTCCGCAAGTGTTGTGACGACTCTAAAACTTCACCTGAGCCTCCCTCGGCATATGGGTGAGTGGGTAATGGCTGAATTTTTATTTTTGGGTGCACTATCCCTTAAATGTTACAGAAACACTATTCTTACCTTCAGGTAACTGAGAAAACTAAGAAACATTGTTATAAACATTGTATTTCATTTCTGCCTATGTATCCCTTCAAATTCTACACACTGGACCTCTGAGGTTACCTGACTACATGCTTTAGCTTGCTACCTGAGATGCGCAACACATAACAGTGCCAGCAACCCTCCACAGTAAATCGGAGGAAGCAGGTTTAAAATCTTTTTTTCTGTGAGGGGAACTCTTTAAGATATGATTTTGTCTCAAAAATATGCTAGTAAGAAAACTGCACACCCTGTATACCAGTGTGTGATTGTATTTATGTATTTATTACATCCTCTTAAATTATGAAGGCAACATGTAGAAGATATTTCTCTCTAACACATAACAGACTATATGCATCACTGGAGCATAAAAAACAACAACTTTTAACTCTTGTCGGCGATGAACATCTATGTCAAGTGTCATTTTTAGCACAGATATATATATTTTTTGAGGATTCTCTGCTTTATGTTTATTGTTACTATGTTGATATGGTCAATGTGAAGAAAACCATGGGTTGTGGCAGTTGAAATAGTTAGTGTGTGTTATGTACTGTACTGTGGTTTCTATATTTTATGTCACATTTAATTATGGCTCAGAGATTTATGTCAAATTCCAGATGGGCAGATTATATCTATACAATCTGCCACGTTTTTTTCTTGGTTTGTTTTCAGTGTTTGCATTTTGATGTATAATCTGCAATGTTGTCAGAGCACTGGTAAAATATAAAGTGGTGAGAGTGGGCTAAATAAATGTTTACAGATGATGTTCTATACATCCTCCATTAGCTATACCAGCTTATCCTTTCAGGGGGTTCTGAGGGAGCTAGAGCTAATCCCAGCTGACACTGGGCAAGAGGCACACATAGACAGTCATTGACACTCAATTTATTCCTAAGGGAGTCCCTTGTTAAGTTTATTTGCATGTCTTTGGATTTAAGGAGGACCCGGAGAAAACCCACGCAGGTATGGGGAGAACATGCAAACCTGACAGAACCCAGAACCCTCTTGCTGTGAGATGACTGCGCTAACCACCGTGCTGCACCACAGATTATAGTGGTGTGTAAATATTTTTGTCCTTCAATAAAACGTGGTGTTGTATGCAATTGTGTCACTTGAACTTCTGCACGTATACATGTATACAGTATGTAGTGTGTACATTACATGTATGTAACTGTTGTCATGTTCGTCATTATGACCTCAGCCTTACTGTGTGTTGTTCACCAAGAAAGACTTCAAACCAATTAAAAAATTATCCTCCTCTTTATTGCAAAAATGCTTCTTTCACCATGGAAATCTATCAGATGTCTGTTCAAACATTTTAGTGGCATTTCCAGACAAGTCAAAGCTGCAGCACAGTTCATTCTGCACCTGGTTGACTCTGAAAATTAAAGACCAAGGCTGCCCTCTAGAGGTAAACATACTGGAAGGGAAAATATTCAACACTTAAAAGAATCAAATGATGGCTGGAGCACAGCAAAAAGGAAATATCTTAGCTCTATCATAATTTGAATTATTTCAAAACTCCCAGTGTGGTACTTATTCACACAATGGCCACTTTTAATTGTCTTCTAACTCTTGGTCGTATGCAGTTAGAAATACCATTATAGATTTGGATAGTGTCTTAACATCTCTTCAAAGGAAACAGTAACTGTGTACATGTTTTTCAACATTAATCCATGAATTAATTCATCCACTCATCCATCCTTACTCAGGGACTACTTCCCCTATCCACTTGAGGTAGGGCGGGTTGCCCTGGTCAATAGGCAGGCTGATGACCTCGGCCACCTCGTAAGGATGGTTAGAGCTGAAGAGAAGAACGTGCAGTTATGAGTCAGCTGGGAGCACAGAAAGACACACAGTACACTTAAGCAGCAGTAATAAAATCCATACTCTTTGACCGCTTGAGTCATGGCAGATAATGGAGCAACACAGTGTTCCCGTGAGAGCTGGGTTGGAGGAAGGTGTTTTCTGCACTGAGTTTAAAAATAAACTCACCGGACATATTCGGCAAGAGCAGGCACCTTGGTACTTCTTGTTTTAATCATCTAAAGAGGACAGAGACACTGGGTCAGCTCCACAGCTCATCAGACAGTTGAGACAATTTTATTGCTTTATCACAGGCGTATTTCTTTGGTATTTAAAAAACTATTCTGTGTCTAGGATGACCCGAATTTTTTTCCCTCTCTCACCCTGTATGACAAAGGCTGCAGCCCCTTTCACACAGCCGGTTCAAGGCACGAATGTCACGCTGTTATTCCACCTCACCATTTTGTATAAAAGGTAAGATCGTAGAACAGGGGGAACAAAGTCGTCTTGCCTCTTAGTCGGGAGTGGATGCAGTAGCAGCAACAAATCAACATCTGTGTTAAAGGGACAGCTGGCGGGACTGGACTGATGTGACATTCTGATGCTTTGTTTTAGGGCTGGGCAATATGGACAAAAATCATACCTCGGTATTTACAGACTGACTGATGATATATATCTCTGTATCTTCTATGAAATGGGCTCCGTGTTTTCAGTTATAAATTCAATTGACAGGAAATTTTGAAGAAGTTGCAATTAGGTTTTTGATCATTAGTGCTAGCGCTAGTTGTAGCAGTAATGCTATCTGCAGCAGTTAGTACTAGTAGTGCATGTGGTAGAAGAAGAGCTGTAATACAATTGCAGCTGTAGCAATATCAGCATTTACATGAATGGTAGCAGTGACAGGATTTAACCCCATGTATTAAAAGGATTTTGCTGCATTTAGATTGATAATTTCACAGCATAAATTATTACAACACTTCAGTCAATACTCACCAGAAGCACTTCATTGTCCTCTTCAATCTTACCCTGCCATTCATATCTGAAGGAGAAAAAAAACATAAGGAATCTGTCATCTCATAAATCCTTCTTGTCATTATTCATTTGTTTAAAAAGCACCAATTTTTAAAGGATAAAATCATTTATTTCAAATGCTGCCCAAGAAACCCGTCATTAAGCAAAAACACCCTGTGAATATTTAAAACACAGACAAACCAACCAGACATAACAGTGAAATGCAGCCATCTTAAAACTTACACCGATGTGATTGCTGGGACGATGTTGACACACGCAGCTAGCTTCCTTTCCACAATACCCCTGAGAGACAGAAGAAAATACAGAATTAGCCACACATGAATTTGCATGAACAAACAGGCAAGAATGCTAAATGATAATGAGTGAATGGCAGAAACAAAAATGTGCATTTGTTTTGCAGGCTGATGAAGAATATGAGCTAAAATTATTTACAATCAAACGGGACATCTCATTTTCATTCGACTGAGTAACAGAGGAGAGACACACCAAGAAGAGAGGATTTTCCCAACTTTTACTTTATCTTTTATTCTATAATCATGTTGAAAAAAAAGGTT